AGGAAGCCCTCTCCTCTTCCTCGGTGTCCTTTAGTTAACCTTTTGGATTACACATGTGCACCAAGCTGGTATAATATAAGCCAATATTATGTTCTAACTTTAAAGCAATAAATCTCATATAATTAACATTTTCCTGGTGTCCAACCAAAATCTCCTCTCTTCTAACTAAATTTAGTAATAGTTATCTCTTGCTTCTTCCTGTTCTGAACATCTGCAGGAGAAGGCAGGGGGAACCCCTCTTCTCCCTTTCTTTCTTGGCATTACACCTTTAACTGTTTCATTATTTCCAAATATTAATTACTGTATCAATATTGATCACTGTTTCAATTTTGTCAGCATGAATCATACCTATTTACCACATAATCCTTAATCTAAACATCCCCTCTTCCAGTATGAAACTGTTCACCCTTGTCCTGTGCACTATGTGCCCAGTACAAAGCCCCCCACCAGCTTTCAGTATTTCCCCAGCTTTTAGGGCATGACAGCCCCTCAGAGCTGCAATGAAATCACACTGAGCAGGTGACACTTTTATTGTACCATTTTTACACTACACCCATGTTACTCCACACTTATTCCCACAGAGGTTTTAAAGCACGAATTCTCAGGAATAACTTCTCTTAGAGAGGCCACAAGGGAACGTAAGAGAAACTTAGAAGGGTTTTAACCAGGCTAACTTAAAATAGCAATCCTAAAGACTGGCAGTTTAGATAGACTATTCCATCTCTAATTCACCAGCAGCTTTCTTCTGAAAAGTGAGAAAACCTGAATTTTTTTCCCTTTAGGAATTTCCAGCTCTTCATGGCTGGGAAGTTAGAAGCCTGTACCCCCACAAATATTGGAACCATGGCTGAGCTCAAAAGGAAAGGTACAAGCAAGGGATGCAAAATAACTATCAAACCCCACCTTTGAATGGCTCACATGCATTAAATACCTTCTCTTGCAAATCAGACGTTTAGGAAGGAGAAGGGAAAGGGGCAGACATTACAGCAGCTTTCCAAGTGCCTTGTCACTGAATTTGAATGCTGGTGACTTTGCAAAGTAATGGGATTCAAGGACTAGATGCTGTAGCACAGCTGACAAACCCTTTCAGAGCATTTCTAAAGTGCAAATTCATTAATCAAAAGAATGCGCTTTAGGGCAGCTGATCATTGTTTAGGGATTAAAAATCAGTATTTCACCTTTTTTTTTTTTTAATCATTCAAGCATTAAGACCTCAGCATGACAATGAAGTGCCAAAGTTCTACAGCTTTGTTGTTATGCAGGAAGTTGAGTTAGGCAAGCAAAATACATCTAAGCTATTAGACACAGAAAGGATTTATTGCCCTATGAGGAATTGCAGTTGCCTTGATATGACACAGATGTATCCAGCTTTCCTGACATTCCTGGGACACTCTAACCTTTTCAAAAAGATAAATGCAAACCCCTAGGTTTCTATACTACCAAAGACAGGCTGCTGCTTGTATTCCAAATTCAACTTTGGAGTCTTCTATAGGACAGAAAGTCCACTTCAGTCAGCTGTGAGACAGACAATCAACAAAAACAACAAAATATAATTGAAAACAGTCTCCCACAGCACACAAGTCTCGCCACCACCCTTGCAGACAGGGAAAAAACCCACCTGCCTGTCAGTTAGGAGACAGTGTAACATACCCTGAACAGCCTGATGGACACACAGCCTTGATACACTGCCAAAAAATATTAAACCACAGCAGGTCTTTGGATACATAGTAGGCACACAGTTAAACAGACCAGCTCTTTGAAAGCTAAGAAAAATAAAATAATTGCCTCTAATTATTTTTAACACAACTTTCTAAATCATTAATATTTTACTTTATTTACATTTTACTGAGTGTACATCAGTACTCAGAGCATATTTATTTCAGAGGTGTATTGCTTCCTGTTGTCTTTGCTGACAGAATAAGACCAGGCATTATCTCCTCTGTAGCATGGACTAAGGATAGCTTGTTGGCATACCTAGGTTGACTCTTAAGGTAAATAAATATGAAGTAATGAAAATATCATCCTCACCTTAACAACTCCACTTGTACCAACTAATTGTCTAGGTGCCTGCAACTGCTCAGTGAAGCTGCTGCAAAACACTGGTGACACAAAAACTCCCCCCAGCAGTACAAGCTGTGTGCACAGCAAAGAAAGTGAGGACAGGACAATAATTTTAAAAAAACTAAACACACTAATAAAAGGAAATAAACTACCCACAGCAATTCCAGCATCATCAGGAGAATCAGCATTTTTTAAAAAGCCATAAGAATGTTATAAATGAGAAGCTTGACTAGGCCAGTATTCAAGCAGCAATCAATTTATTAATTAATATGGTAAGGTATGAGCAATACAGTGCTGGGTGCAGTGGGGGAAATTTTCCCTCCAACTGCACACCGATAGTTGGGGCTTACAGATATATACAGGAGTACTCATAAGCTTTCTCAGCAGTTTCTATTCCAAATTTTTACGTCACAATTCTATACATTATTGTGATTTAGTTTTTGTCAGGATGTATCTCAGAAAAGAGTATCCTCATATGGTGGGGTCCAGCTTCTGAAAGAAGAAGTCTCCCAGCTGGTGATGTCCAGATTCCAGATGTGGGTTCACCTTGTAATTGCAAGGACTCTAAATCTCATAACAGTGATGTCCAGCTTCCTTTGGTTGAAACTATCAATCCTTGAGTTGATGTTCATCTTCCTTTTTCAAGATCCTTTTCAATATTTTGTTAAGGCATCGAGATAAGCATGTTTCCTTTTTATATATTCTAAAGCTATAGTTTCAAAGATTCTTACTACAAGCAATATTCTAAAATTATACTTCAAAAGGTTATTATTGCAAAACCCTTTTTAGGTAGAAGCAGAAAGTTCCTGTCAAACAGCAACATCCTTAAAGCTTTAATTCAAATGTTCCTAAATCAACTTAAGACTTATAAAGGTTAATTGCAAACAAAGGATAGGTTTAAAAGCCTTCTTCCATGCTTTACTTCCTCAGTTATTTATTAGAATTGTCTTTATAACTGTCCCATGGTCAGTTTCCACACATATCACAACCACAGATACACAGGTTGCCTGTATGTACCTGACACGAAACACAGCTTTGTATTTCACAAGAACATTAAGAACATTAAGAACATTAACTGTAAGAACAATTAATTTAATACAGTGATAACTTTACTAAAGGAAATAAACACCACTTGTAAGGGTTTCACTTCATTACAGAGAAAGTTGTAAGTCAGAAAAAAAGATGTTTATCAAAGTAAAAATCAAACAGTGTAAATGTAGCTATGATATTTTATGAAAAATCCCTTCCTAGGATTTTTCCCTCCTGAGAGCTGAGGGCCTCAGGAAAGAAATGTAAACAATAACAATCTGCTGCTGTGGAAGGCCACAGGTGCATCTTCCATTGGTCCATGTGGACTGTTTTCAATTGATGACCAATCACAGCCACCTGTGCCAAGGCTGTGAGCAGTCACAAGATTTTTGTTATGCATTCTATTCTATTCTTGTTCTTTGTAGCCTTCTGATCATTCTTTTCTCTCTGTTCTTTTAGTATAGTTTTTATGTAGTATTTTAGTACAATATAGAACATAATCAGCCTTCTGAGAAAATGGAGTCGAGCCTTGTGTCCCCACACATGGAACATCCACCGCAACATGTAAATACATAGGAAAAGCACATCAGCAAACACAACCAGTAACAGCATAAAATATTGCAGAGAATTTCTGAGTTTGGTTTCTATTTTACAAAAATATTCCACAGCTGGTAAAAGATTTAGTTACATTCCAGCGAGGCACATGGTTTTAAGACAATAAACCATTTGTGTGCTTTCCCTCCAAAATGGTCAGCACATGCTATGGTTGTAAACATCAGTATTTAAGACAAATGTGTTTAAACATCCTCCTCCTCCTCAGTTTACAATAGCACAGTGATCTCATGAACATGATTAAGTACCAAAATGAAGGAAAAGCTGTTCTCAGGAAGCTGGAGGCACACATAGAGCCCAACACACTTTCCTTTAAAAAATATGGTTTCTGAAAAGAACTTGTGGCAGAAAATTCTTCCTTGATTTTTGTAACAGCTCATGAACAATCTTATTACTATAAATACTGAATTAGATGAAATTGTTCACATCATCAGTGTTGAAACATTTCAGATAGTATCCGTATTCATAATGGACTGTAGGAATATAAAAAGGTAAAAGAATTTAGAAAGTGCAAAAAGGCGTCAGAAAGTAGACACAAAGCTAACAAAGGCTGGGAAATTTCTAAACCTTCTCATGGGAAACTAGGAAGTTAAAAACCAAGTGAATACATTTATATATATCATAAGGAACAAGAAAGAACAAGAACTTATTGTTAGTTCAAGATGTGACAAGTTCTAGATATATGCTTTGCAAAGACAGAAAAAGTTTCAATCTTAAATAATGAATTATTGTGTATTGTTTGAGGTTTATAGAAGTCCTTTTGTTAATGTTAAACCCACATGGATCCTTTTCTTATTGGCTAGAATATAATGACTTTACACCTTTTCTTTTATGCTACTGGTTCAAAGAATATGTAGAAAAAGGCTCTGCATAAGCTGCCATCTTGTCTTTGATCTGGATTTGCATGGATGTTGTTATTTTCCTGTGTCTCTTGCTTTTTGCTTGTATGATACAGACAGATAATAAATCCTAAGTCTGCAACCAGTCAGAGTCCCATCCCGTTTGTGAGACATGGACCGATCCAGCAGAATGGACTTAATCACATGGAAAAGAGCAAAATGTTGAAGTAGTGAAAAAAAATTCCCGTATTTCAATGTATAGAGTCTCAGTACTTCAGGAACAGATGACTATCACACTCCCTATCTCCCTTTCTAATATAGCTGGAAAGTCAGCTGATCCAGAATACACAAATTTCCTGCTAGAACTGTACACTAAGGCTGCTTGGTTGAGGTTAAGTTATCTGTACAGCAAAAAGTGAAAAAAAGTTGGACAAATTGTGTGGCTCTCACGCAAAAAAGCACTTTCTTTTAGAACACCAAATCCTACTGAGATGGGCACCCAACACCAAAGAAGTTTCCTTAGGGAAGTCAGCCTTGAGTTAAGAGCTGTAAGCAACTGAGCAAGGACTTTGGGAAGGAAGGAGCTTTGTGATTCCAACCAGAAGCTCTCTATTCACAGTAAAGTGCACACAACACACCAACACACATTCCTGCCCTCAAGGACAGTGAGATGGAAATCTTCAGAAATACTCACCATGCTTCCTGCCAAGCAGATAACCAAAGTTGATGATATCAAAATGTAACACAAAGTAGATTTAATGACCAAAAAAAAGGTATAATGATATAATCTAATTCAGATTTAAAACTACTCAAGAGGGAATATTCATATAGTTTATTCATATAGTTTACTCCCTAGTTATGTAAAAGTCATATAAAATATACTTCAATAAAAGGGAAATTTCTTTTGCTGATAAACTTGTAAACAGTGTCACTACAACTATTTGAAAGTGAGTAAGAATCTAAAGAGTTTTGTTCTGGGAGAGCTACTTTAAATAAAAACTGCTTGAAGATGAAGCAACAAACCCTGAGTACATTTCACATATTGGCAAGAATATGGCAAGTCTCTCCTACTGTCTGATGTCCTGAGGAACAGAATAAAACACTAAAGGGCAACTCTTGAATAAACCCCAGTGGCACTCTTGTGATCCTTGTGTCTGTCCTTGCCATCTTCCCTTGAGTTCACTTCCTGTAAGGGCACAATTGCCTAGCCTCATGTGCTGTGCAGTCAAATGAAGGTTTGTTCTTCTCTCTTCCTGCATAAAAGGCTGTGAAGCTGGAATTACAGTTTTAAACTGAGACGAGAGGGGGAAAGGACAAAAATCCATTTATGTGCTCTCTACTGGTATTTTCATAAATTTCCTACTTCTAATTGGTTGTGTTCACAAGAGCCAGCTAAAAGGTTCTAGTTAGCTAGAAATAGTGCACATTGAAAAACTAATATTCACCATACCCAACTGTACTGTTCTTCCAAAAGAACTGCCAGAGAGTCAGGCTACCAGAACCCTGCCCAAGCTAGCCAAGGAATAAGCAAAAGGTATGTACTCCTCCTAATCTAAAGTAATCAAAAAAAAGAATCCCAAAAGTCAAATTCTGTTATCGTGGCTGCTGAACCTGGAATGATGATCAGAGTTAACATAACTTAACTGGAGAGGGGAAGGAGAAACAATGTATACTGTGCTTGTAGCTTTTTTCAGTGACATTCGGAGATTATAAAATTAAAGGAATATTGGAATGTAAAAGGTTTGAGCATTGCATTTCAATTTCCCTTACACAAAAGGAATTCTGTAAACATTATCAAAGCCCTAAGAAAAGACTGGCATAGGTCCTTTGACTGATGTAAATTAGGTTTTGAACTTAGTCCCTGATAAAAAAAGACACACATCAGTTTAGACACTTGTCTTAGATCAGTCAGGGAAAAGAGGATCAGTTTTCTTTAATTCCCAGTCTCTCTTGGGTATTTAATCAAATCATCTTTTCAAGAAGATTAATAGTCAACATATTTATTTCAACACTGACTTCTAAATCCTGGGAGGCAAAAAAGCACCAGGACGCAGTACTTGAATCTGCATAACTGTTTCATTCCAACATCAGTGACATCTTTCCAAGGTGGCATTTTCCATTCAAATTCCTTTTCAGCAGTAATTCTGGCACCTAGAATCCACAGAACGCTTATCAAAATCTCCCTTTGATACCATCTACAAAGGGAATCTTTAATTATTTTTTTTCTGGAGGATCCTTACAGGTGGATGGTACTGAGCTTTATAAATTATCAGAAGGACACTTAAATTTAAAATTTTGGATCAATTAATTTCTTAGTAACTTTCTGGAAGCCATAGAAGTATTAGCCTAAACTGTGAGCTTATACTTCACAGCCAGGTAGATCCAGATTTTTCTTGCATTAAAGTCTTTGTGGTACAAGTCAGGGATACACTTGCCATACAAACACAATGCTCTTAAACAACTAAACTCTTAGTAGATTGAGGAAGAGATGCTTCAGTTTCCACTAGAGTGCACTGGAAAACCATAATCTTAAACACTGGCTTCAGCAAGACAGTTTGGTAAGAGGAAAGGGGAAAGTAGTTAAACATTATCTCACACAGCAGAATCAGGTATCTGTGCTCAGATATTAAACTGACCACTGCAATGCCATGGGAGTAAATGATTATATATAGCTCAGAAGATGAAGAGAACAGAGTGGCCTTGGAATTTGGATACAGACCACTCAGCACTTGTTTGGAGCTGGCAGAGGGATTATTTCATGCCTTCCTTGCTACCACAGGCAACAGAATATTGTGCTTTCTCCTCCATGCGGAGAAGTTCACTGGTGTGTGCAAGAGTTTTAGCAGAAAGAAAACTGATTCTACTTACAAAGAAACAAAGATAAATGTTGGAGTTTTAACTTATTTACAAGTTCAGAAGAAAATGTCGTCTCCCTGACCTAGGCTGCTTAAAAACAATAACCCACTTCTACCTTATGACAGTTTGTCCTTTGAGAAAGGACATACATAAATTATTTTATTGCTTGCCTACCACGCCCTTTGCATTGCTCTTATTCTACAGCTGGAAGAGAAGCACCTCACTTCGTGTGAAAAATGTCAGCTTCCTACCTTGCAACCATGAGCAAGGAAAAGAACAGGTTCCTGGTAGCTGAAAAATCAATGGACCTTATTTTACGAATGCTTTTCCAACAGGAACAAGATTTTTCAGATGAAAATGTCCCTTTCATGTATTTTAAGGAAAGAGTATCAGTATGGACTGAGAATTAAGTATTTCATTAAAGATGCAAACATTTCATGGTTAGTCCAAAACCGTGTTTAGTTTTAGCATTACATCTTTTAGAAATCTCATAAAACTAAAATTTTTCAAGAGAGATAGGAAAAGAAAGAATATCAATATTTCATTATCTAAGGCAAACAGTGCAAAGATTAAGTGACATAAGGCTATTTAAAAAAAAACAACAAGTTGTTGGTAAGAAATCAGTTTTCAACTCCAGAACTGGCACAGTCCCACCAGAGCCAAGATTTTCACTTTACAGAATTCACACATTACTTTGAAACTTTTGCAAAACCAAATGCATGAATTTATGCAAGAATCACCATAACAAATTGTGGACCTCTGCCCAGTTCTTCTGCCAAATTGAATTTCATTTGATCACAAGCCCCCTGTCCCACAGACACCATTGCTTACAATGCATGCAGATGCTGGGTATAACACAAGGAGCTTCTAACAAGCAGCTGAAAGGCACGTGTTGAAGACAGAAGTAGGAGACTACACAACACAGTGATCCAACACAGTTCTACCTAGAACTTCGTCAGACACCCAGTATTCCTGTTAGGACAGACAGACTGAAACACATTTCTTCACAGCATCCCTAAAGGCAGAAGAAAGAAAAAAACACAAGAGAATCAGAGTCACCTCAGTTACATGATTTGATAAGAGTCATTCCATGCCACTATCCTACTGACACTGAGGACTGCAGAGATCAGCTGATCAGGTATTAATTGCATTAACCTCATTTTCATGACTATACAATTGCTTTAGAGACAAACAGGTCTGCTCAGTGCCCACCTGCTGTGGAAGTGACATCTGCAAGACTTCACTGAGGCAGGGCACTGCAGCAGGGTGGGGCAGGAGACACAACTGTGCTCATACAGAACAGTGCTTATGGGGGAGAACAGGCCAAAAGAGACACAGAAGAATATACTTGTCTAGTAGCAGTTTGGACCAACATTCAGGCATTCCAAAGGTAAGCCTTATGCTCAGCATTTGGTCAGTAAGCTTACATACTCCTATGGGAAGCCCTCTAATTTTCTCCAAATGTGTTCTCCCACTAGAGAAAATGCTTATTTTCATTTTCAGATGTAACTACTTGTATTTCCTGCACCATGGGAAACCCTCTAAAGCCACACATGACAATGCTTCTCTAAGCTAATCTTCTATATGATTAAACCTCAAAATGACAAACAGTAAGAGAGTAGAGAAACTTACCTTGCATATGGTATGAAGGAAATGCTGTACCTAAGAAGAAGGATTTTGAAAGTTACTTTTCATGTCAGATTTTATTAGAATCACATATAAGAACAACCCCTCTGATATTCTAAACTGCAAGTTACATAACCAAAATGAAGCTCTGAGTTTGTGAGTAACAGAAAAGAGTTACCCTTGGGAGAACAGTTACCCTACAGGAGAACACCCTTGCAAGCCATCTTAGCCAGGGTATGAAACACTAGGGCAAAATAGAGGGGGATGTTGTGGAAGCATTTTAAACACAGTTGTTTAAAATGTTGTCCTGCATCCAGTATTCTTCATGCTCCAACACCTACAGGTAGGCAAGATTAACACTGAGGGCTGGCTAGGTGTCTATATCAGTTTGTGCACTCCTTTGGTGACCTTGCACAGTCATATGTTTACATGAAGAACACTGACAGTTTGATTTGCATAACTGGGTCTCTGAATGAGACAAATTCAGGAGAGAGTAAAAGAGGAATACCAGATAGTAGGCAACAAATTGATTTAAAAGGGAAAAAAAAATAAGCTCAGTTCAAGCTCAGAGAAATCAAAGGAACTTCCTCTAGAAATGGAGCCCTGAGCTGTCTCCACAGCCTCTGCAGTGGTGTGAGAGACCAAGAAGTGGGAACAGGTCAGCACTTCACTGACGCATTGTCTTGAATCTAAGGGATTGACAAGGTAAAAATTTTCCTTCACCTAACTGAACATCAAAATCCACTCACAATTCAGCTACTGGTGTCAGATGCAACAGAAAGTGGAGTGTGTAGAGAGGAAACCACTCACCATGCCATGGCAAAAAACTGTAAGATGCAGAAAAGCAGTGCAAGTCCTGCCTTACGCCACTGGAGGGGAGAGAAGAGGGGAGGGAGGAAGAAAAACAGCAGAGACAACAATGTAAGAATCTTACTTTTAAAATATACTCCAGTTACATTAACTCCAGTGATATGTACATACAGGACTCCAGTACTCACCCAGAAAGCAGAACACAGTGTTAGTATGAGGCACAACTAGAAGAAAGTAAATTATTTTAATTAAAAATAGATACAACTCCAGTTTCTATAAATATTGCAACACTGTAATGGGGTCCTTCACAGAGAAAGAAATTAATTACATAATTTCACAGTTTTATTCAATTCTGCATTATAAGAGTTCCTCATATTTAAAAGTTTCTTGTATTTAAAATGCTCTCACTTTTAGATTTCTGACGTGAATTAAAGCAATCAGGAAATATCAGGGTGGTATCTCCAGAAAATTATTTTATGGCTGCAAAGGAGCAAGAGGAAGAGGTTCCTGCAGCTCTTTTGCATGTCCAAACTCCATCCCACACACTTCCTGGTGTCACAGGCACACACCACATTTCATTATTTTGCATAAGTAAGACTTTTCAAACACTTTTCAGTTACCACTCTTAGCCTTTCTGCTGCTGCACAGTTCCTGATGATTACATGGTTACCATGGCATTGAAGTTCTGTCATTACTTAAAAGCTCACAAATTAAACCACATTACACTTTCAAGAACTTTGGGCTATTGCTTAGTAGCTCTCCTGTGTATATACTGAAGTAAGGCACAGTCATTCAAACCAGCACTTTTTCTGTTTTCAGAGTTGCACTATGTGCAACACAGCTAAAATGTTGGGGGTAGTAGGATAATCTTCTGCTTTAATCCTCAGTTTTAATAGACGCCTCTTATTAGTTTTCATTTTCAATTTAAGATATGACAGCTCATTTATCTATGATAGATGCTGATAATTCATCTTCTTCATCAGCATCTAACAGCCTTTAGATACACATGCACCATTGTGCTACTAGAGATTATAATGTGCATCTTTCTGCTAGAATGGAAAAAAAACCTCTTTAGAGTACTGTATATTCATACACTAAGACATGCACTGCCAATGAAATCATACACTTGAGCTCAACCAGTACTGAAAATAAATGCATTTCTTCCATTAGTTTTAAGGTGGTGATTTGTATATTGGTCTAAATACTGCATCATACATCTAATGACTGGCTTTATCCCAGTGAACAACATTCCAGGAATTCTCCTGACTCCAGGCATCCTGAATGCATACAAAACACACATATATACACCACACAGTAGCTTCTTGCTTGGATCTGCAAGCATACATAGTCAATTTCTCAAGCTCTGCAGCATCTCTGGATGTGTAAAGAGAAATTGGGAAGTGCTGATACAAGCAAGCACTCTGAAGACATTCAGACTGAAAATGGGAGTTTCATGCAAGTTAAACCACCTTTCAACTTTTTGACTTACCAGGAGCAAACAGGAAAGTTGCAGAGACAAAAAAAAACCTGTGTACTTCAAAGAAGAGTCAGTCTGAAACTTAACAGCAACTTTCAGACACAGAAACACACACAACACAAGGTTTACTATAACTTCCATCTTCTGAAAATAAAATAATCCCAAGGGTGACTCCACTGAATGTTGAATTTGCAATTTCATTCTGTCATACAAGTTTCAAAATCTGAAGCGATCAGCCAGCTGGGAAGATCCCTAATGCAAGGTTACCAAGGCACAGTTTCCCCAGCTGCTTTGTTACAAAGAGATGATTTATCAAGGTAGAAATACCTACACAGCTCCTTCAAGGCAATCTGACCCAATATATAAAGACAAAATAATGCAAAATAAAATATCTAGTGCCATCCATAGGAAAACTTTTAAAAAAATTAGTTTCCCATCATTCACTTCTTAAAGCACAGATAAATATGATGTTGTGACCTCAAGCACCCTAAAAAAGCACATGCATGGTTCACACAGACCAGCCATAGACCCATAATGCTCATTTAACTAAACAAGCTGGCTTCAGCTCAGTATTGCCTAACAGAGAGCTGTGTTTCTGCTGCCACACTTGCCCTTCCACTACAGCAGATGTGCAGTGTTGGACAATTTAAGAAAAGACAAAAAAACATGAACCAAAAAACCACCCCCAGGGACGTCCTGAGCCATACGTGGATTGATGGATATGAAAGGACTTCACAATAAATAATTGCCAGGTTTATACGAGTTAAAAGTGACTCCTTGGACACTTACTAGCATAACAATAGTAGCAATCAAACGTGTAGGCTCAAACATCCGCTTCAATTGTTTCATTGGTCCCATAAGAAACATGGTGCTGTGAAAAACAAGTCGAGATGAACATGGAAATGAGAAAGGCAAAAGTGAAACTTGGTAAGATTAAACTGTCTGCTGCCATAGGGGCATCAGTACACTGTGTTGTTATGGCACTCAGTGCAGCAAAACAGAAGAAATGGGATTATACAATGAGACAAAATCCATTCCCCCTTTTCTTTGTGCAAGGTATTTACAATTTTATTCACACTTGTTCCATTAAAATTAACAGAAGCAGAGCAGAACTATTAAGTTAGAAGCACAGGCCAAGGTCAGCTCCAATCAGATAATCCTTGACAGATGCTTTTCTAACGTGCTTTTCAAAAAATGCTTTTTAAATCTGCTTTTCAAGAACACCATCCACAGAGGCTCTGCATGGACTGCCAAGTAATCCAACTCAATTCCTCTACATAAAAGGCTGTTTTCATGCCTGCATCTGTTCTCTGACCCCTTACCAGATCTGCAGCCTCATTTAGGGCCCTGGTGATAGATAATAGATGAATTACACAAGGTGAAAGTTTTATCTGAAGTGATATTTCTGCCTCATATACTATATAATTCTGCCTCATTAGCATATTACTTCCAATTCCATTATTTATGCTTTCCTCCATCACGCTAAGCTTCCCCAGTCACAGAAAACTGGGCTTGTCACAGAGTATGGAGGGCTTTGCTTCATGAACCTCGAAGGCCAGGAAGTTTTACTATATATGCTTGCCCTGACAGATGGACTGCCCCAAACATAGTCACCAAAACACACAGAACACTGCCAAATGCAAAATGGCAAAGAATTATTTTTATCTGGGGGAGGAGGAACCAACAAAATCAAAAAACCTCAATGCTTACAACTTTTACCTTGAATGCACTACTAAGAACAACAAACAAATGAAAATTTTCTTTACCATTTCAGGGCACTACTGGGGAAATGCTGTTCTGTAGAATTCAATGAAAAAATTATCTACAAAAGCAAATCTTCTCTCGCAAATGCAACAACTTCTACCACTCATGCACTATCATTGTGCTTTTGTTTCTCATTTTTATTAGGGAAATTATATATAAAGATTGTTACCTCCCAATGGATGCAATATTCCCCAGGGTATAAAACACTGCAAAGAGAACCAGCCCTTTCTTTGGTATCCATAGCAGACAACTACCCTAAAAAGGAACATTTAGAGAAAGGGGGAGGGGGAAATGAACAGGTTTTAAATTGAAACAAACATATATATCCAAGAAGTGTCACGTCACGAAAGTAATCTTAAGAAAACTTCGAGCCAAACTGCAGAATTATGCATACGAAAGTAAATCGCGATTATTGGCATTCTTGTTAAGAGTCAGTGTATTGCATCTAACTGGAACCGAGTCAAAGGTCTCCACAGATCGGGAAAATCAAGCAGCAGCACAGAGGGAGGCTGTCATTATCTGGGCTCTTGAAATTCAGATACTGGGGAGATCTGGTAAAAAGTCCTTACCAAGATCGAGCACAGGCATCCGATCGCAAAACAGGCAATGAAACCTTTCACTCGGGCGCCCCAGCCTAAGGAAGTCGCATCGATAACCTGGAAACGAGGAGAAAAACAAAAGTGAAACTTCTTTACTTTTAGCTCTTGCCTTCTACCGAGAGCGAAAACTTCCTCAGGCGCTGCGGCGCCGTGTCCTGTTCGGCACTCTCCCGAGCGTCCCGCGGGAAGGGGGCCATGCCACGGCACGGGAACCCGCGGGGGCAGCGCTGGCGGAGCCCACGCGGGACCGCCCGCCCATGCCACCGGCACCTTCGCACCGGCTGCTCTGCCAGCACGCCGAGCACAGCGGGGACGGGCGGCTCTGGGTCCCCCACCCGTCAGCGGGGCGGCAGCCGCAGCGATACCTCGGCCAGGCCGCTCGGCTCTTCCGCGTCGCGGCCGCTCAGCACCCGCTTCAGCTTGTCCATGGCTCCGCACTCCGCCCGCCCAGCCGGCCGGAATGCCCTGCCCTTCCCTTCCCTCCCCAGGGACTACCAGCCCCGGCAGCCACCGCGTCCACCTGCACGCCGCAGGTAGGGGAAGGCCGGCGGGGCGACGCGAAGGCTGCCGGGGAATGTAGTCCAGATGTGATGGATCCTCTCTCCTCCCAGCACTTTCCAGTCCATCGCTTGGCAGTAGCAAAACTCATTTTATAGTCAGTGAGGTTTCATTTTAATCCCACGGCTGTGGCTCTTCTCCTGCTACTTTATTTTCGTAACGAGCCTAGCAGTCTCCTGCCAAAGGTGTGTGGATGCAAAGTCCTACTAGCAGCCAAAATTCAGCATCACAAGTAGTTATTTCAGTTTATTTTGTTCAGTTAAAAACAGAATTGTAAAACGTTTGGTACATTTTATTTAGCAACATACAAGGAACAATGTAAACTGCCACATAAAACTCGACACAAAACAGTTGGAGAATCACCCCACTCTCTCCCCCCCAAAGTTATTTATTCAAAGTGTTACTTCTCTGTGGAAAATTTCTGTCAGAGCACTTTCTGTACGCCAGTTTATACCACTGCTTCTTTGTAATCTGCCTGGTGTAAGACAGTCACAAAGTGTTCTAATTTTGAACTTGTTGTAACTGTAACCTCCTAAAGGTGTTCTTGTGATTTCCCAAATCTATGTCTCAGTGAAATGCAAAGCGCCCTTTAGCATAGACCGAGAGCACGTATCTACAGTCAGGATACAAATCAATTCCATAAAACTTTACCAATAGGTCACAAATTAGGATGTATGATGGACAAGAGAAAACACACAGTATAAGCTAAACATGCAGAGCGCCCTTTCCACTGCTCCCTCCCCACTCTGTGGCTTTCCCCCACACTATTTCAGACCAAATGAGTTTAATGTTAGCATCACTGACCAAGCTCAAATCACAATCTGAATTAACAAATGCAGATATAGTTTCCTTCATGCCAGCACTACATGAGCTCTGCTCCCAGTCATACCAGCTGTAAAAGAGTGTTTTTATAAACTCTAAGCATTTATTAGTATACATGCCTTCGAGCAAGTGCCATGATTTACTTCTACCAGAAAAATAACTCTTCATCCCCATTTGTCATTCTCTTCGTTTTCACTCTTTCCTCACTTCCCTCTATTAATGGAGGGAAATGGATTAAAAAATAATCTTCTATTACTAAATGGATTTTAATCTCTTTGGTGCTGCATTCATTTGTAGTCCCTTTCTTCATCCTGACACTAAAATGTTTAGGAAACAAGGGCAGGAAGATGAAAAAAAGCCAACAGAATTTAGGACTGTAACAGGGAACATAGAGGACCTTGCTTCTATTTCAAAGTGGTCATAAATTCATTCACCCAGATCATGTCTGATAATTATCTGGTAATTATCACAGCTGACAACTTCTTTCAGAAACTATCAGTTCTCTTCACTTATCTTATACATAATTTTTTAGCAGTAATCGTTTCCAAAGAATTCCAAAGATAAGGCTGAAGTTGTATTCAGGAAAAAAAAATTCTAATCAATAATTTTGTACAAACTAATCCTCACAGTCTCTCTGTGAGGTAGGCATATATTAACTCTCGTTTTTACATACAGGGAATGGAAGCACAGAAAAATGTCTTCCCCATGGTTAGAGTAAATCAATAACACAGGAAAAACTGCAGTTAGTTCCTGCCTTTCTACCTGCTGTAGAACTCACTGACCAGGCTGTCTCAAATACAAGTGAAATCAGTGTGTTCTTTTTAATAAGGGATCAGTCATTTACATGGCAGTACACTTTTTTGCCCCAGTAAAAACCTCAAGGTCTTCTCTACATGAAAACCACTTCACAAAATACATTATTAAATACTAGGTTTTGTGGTGTGTTGCTGCTAGTAAGCCATGCGGTGTAGAATATGAAGATTTTTAAACAAAAACCCCAAGACATCACAATGTCCATGTTCTTATCTGCAAGCACCTTGCACCACAGGGCCTGCTTTTCACTGCACTTACTTGCTTCCTGCACTGAGTGTCAGCAGCAAACCCAGGCAAGCCTGCTTGGCTGCCCCATTCTTAAGCCAAACCAGTAATATATTGCAGAATTTCCAAAAGCAATACAAGTATTCAGTTTCAGAGTGTTGAAACCATGACTATACAAGTGATCACACTTCTACCAATACTAGAACTTAGAAGAATTTTAAAATAAATCAAAATTATGCATCTGGAAAACATGTTAGTATCCTTCTAAGGCCACACAGGATCTCATTTCTAAAACTGCAAATACCAGCACCCTTTAGGGATCAGACTTATCCAGCCTTAAGCCTCACTGCAATTTTGCAACTTGGCCATCAGGGCAGTAGAACCGGCCCATGTGGGCACATCCAAGAGAAGGCCAGTGCAGGGCAATACCTTTCCAGCATCGTACATTACCAGAGCAGCACACTCTCACTTGAGGAGAGTCCCAGAACTGCCCACAGAACTCCAGCTGACACCAGATTAAACCAGCATTTGTGAAGAGACTTAGCAGTGTCTCTCTGTTAACTTCCAGCTCTCCTCCTGCTCTGGCGTTAATGCTTCACAAATAATTTTTACCTTTATATAGTGTCAAAAAAATATACTTTTTTTCCCTACACTTAAACCTATCTCAGATGAAATGAATATTCTTAGGTGATACCCTGGATCAGAAACTACAAGAAGTAACTTTGTTGGTTACCAGTAGGGGAAGCCAAGCAAAATGGGTAGTCAAGGATGTACAGATCAAAATAAATGCAGCAGATTTTTTTTTTTTTTTTACTGTGGATTATTTCTCAATAAAAATAAAATCACGCCAGTTTTACAACTCTGGCAGTTTCATAGTATCTGAAGCAGCAATGACAAAATCTTCATAGAATTGTTAGTGGATGGGGGTCCAGACAATATTCCTGCCTGTTTGGTGAACTAAACAGATCCCAGATTCCCAATAGTCATTTCTCCAATGCTGCTGAAAACTGTAACTCACCACCAGTCTATCACCAACTCCAAACACAGGTTAAAAAAACCACAAACAAAAAACACCATTAGCAAAACCTGTTTGAAATGTTTCTTCTAAAGGCTACAAAAAAATTAGCCAAATTCTTCATTCCACTAGTAGTGAAACACCCCCCCATATATCAACAACCACGATCACATAATCTCCAGTATACTTCAAGTCCTATAAAGTCACATTTATTTAGACTTAGCACATGTGGTTTCCAGTGATGTTTCTGGTTTAGGCTCCAGCTTCTCTGGGAATTCTAGTTTTTCACAGATTGTCTCCTTTATGGGTAGATACTGAGAGATCTCATTAGGTTCCGTGAACAGGGAAGGTGGAACGTTCTAAAAAGCAAAAATTTTACATTAAATGAGTGAAAGAAAAGAGGGGATAAGAAAAAGTATTCCAACTCCAAACTACTACAGACAATTTATAACTTACTGAATGTAAACACCACTACAGGCAAACTTTTTAGAGGCAAACTAAAAGTAAAGGAGGAGAAAAGGTACAAGAAAATGAAAGTTCAGGTGTTTGTCACGAATAACAACCACAGCTGCAACTCCAAATATACCACAAATTATTCTGAGCCATTACTAGAGTTTTAAGGTGGCCTATTAATCTCAAATATTTGAGAAAAAAATTAAGAAGTCTATTACCAAACAGATCTTAACCCCTAACATGGGTTGGAAGCATACAACCAGCCATGAAATTTAACATCATGGGACATGGAGTACCCAATTCTGCAGCTAAACAGTTCTATGAAAAAATAAAATAATAAAAACATTTTATGACCTCAACAGTAGAAAAAATGTCCTAATCCCATACCCTGTCACGTGATCTGAGCATTTACAAAATGTAAATCTGCTCTAAAATCACCAAAACAAAAGCTGCATAAGCAGAAAGAACTTTCTTCGGTATTAATTCCAAACCAAACAAAGAAGCACTTAAGAGACAGTATTTTCTATGCTGACCATAAAACTAAAAAGCACACAGAAGGAAAAGAACCAAAGTTTTAAAAATCCAATACCTTTAGACTTGATATTTTGCTTTCCCTGGATGTGTATTCTCGCAACATGTAGGTCTTGTCAGCCTAATGGAAAAAATCAATCATCTGGTATCAGTAAAACAAGAATTTTAAATACATTTAATTTAGGAAGCATTGGAATTTGGTTGACCACAAATTTTCACCTAGGAGAAGAAATGTACATTCAAATTCATGAAGACAGATGACAACAATGTTGTTTTTTTCCAAAAACCACCTGCGTACATGTTTCAAAAAAATATGACTGAATATGCTTGTTAATTTTTACTCAGCTAGAACTCCTACACATCTACTCAGAAATACCAACCCCCAAATCTTAACATCCTGTATTATTTGGTGAGACACCAGAACTCAATGTACTATGGACAGTTGTTTGCAAGTTACCTAATAGAGTTAGACTGCAAGTGTAAGACAAAAATAATGTACTTGGAGACAAGACCCTATTGAACCCTTTACTGCTGCCTATTTTTCCTCTTGTACTTCCTTCTCTAATCTGTGTCTGTCAAATGTATTTAAATGATTACATCACATGAGGGGTAGCCTACTCTGCTCATACATATGGCATCCAGCACTAAGTGGCTAGCTCAGCACTACCACAATAATAAAATACACTCGGAAGTTTTTGTGCTCCCAAACATCAGTATTAAATTAGAGGAATATCACTGAGTCACTGGAAGTAAAATGGCAAGGGAACATCTGTAAAGTAATTAATCATGGAAAGTAAAGGTTTACCTCATGATGAAGCCTTGTATCATTCATCCTGATGAGTACCCCATCCACTCGCAAGAAGAACCTCAGCAGCACAAAAAAGCTGGATGGCATAACTCTCTGCAAAAATAAAGATGGCCCATTCAGCACCTTACAAAGGCTTACTTTAAGCATGTACTTGTCTACATCAGATATTCACAATGCAAGGCAATATGAGAAGTTTTCAAGAATGAAGTCAAAGTTTGGGCGGTTGATTTGCTACAGCTATGACTGGGCAGCGGGGCAGACAGTGTCTCAAAGGACTGTTAGGCAGGACACAGGAGACAAAAGATTTTCCCCGGAGCACATGACAGATGACAAAGGTTTCAAGACAACATCATCTCCAGTAAGATCATATTTGTAAGAGCAAGGATGAGGAACTTTGTGCTTTAAAGTTTAAGTCCCAGAAAAAACAACATGCAAAAAGCAGCTTTGCATTAATCAGCCAACTGAGTCCCCAGGTATCTTTTATACACCTCCCAATACTCACTACTTTCACACTCAGACTTGATACTCCATGATCATGGAGTTCATCTTCAAACAGGAGTACTTCTTCAAAAAACATAATTTGTTCCCTGGCTTTCAATTTCTCTGTATTTATGTGTTCTGTTGTAGGAACAACCTAGAGAAAAATATTAAGAGCAGTTAGGATATTAACTTTTTGCCAAACTACATAAAGTTTGTTCTGATATTTTGAATTCCACAGTTTTAATAAGGAAAAATCTTCTAGGGCACTAAGCTTAAGACACCCCAAATTTCTAAGAGAAAAAGTTAAAATCAAAGTTTCCAAGAGTTTCTTCTGGAAAATTCTGACTTCTCTCTGGGTACCAGGCTCAGTAGGGTTTCAACTACAAACAATTCTGCTTTCTTTAAAAACATTTGAAGATGTCTTGTGTTCAACATACATATGAGAAGTTCAGGTTTATAAATAGAATTCTGTGCATTTAGCACCCGTAGCCCACAACACACCTTGAAAAGGATTCTAATAAAGCTTTTCCATGGAAATCAAGTACCTCTATGTTTTGCATCTCATGGTCTCCACAGACACTTCTGGTGTCCAAATACTATGGACCAACATTGTTCATTTCTATGCTGTACTTTTAATTCCAGCACAACTCAAATGATCTCTGACTAAAGCAATTCTAGTGAATTGATACAGATTATCTGCTTAGTAGCAAGCAACCTGTATGCAGTAAACAGAAGCTGGGAACTTCAGTCTTATTTTCACAAAAATAAAGGCATGAGGGGGCCTGTGAGTTTAAATATGAGGAGTTACTGAGCTGCTGATGCAGAAAAATATCAGACCATTGAAAGCAGCCAGGTCAGAAAACAGACAAACATGCAAGCAGCAGAGCATGAAGGCACTACAGAATGACACAGCTGATAGTTCTGCTGTATGTGAGCAGCTTGAGGCTCCAGAGCAGCCCCCCGCAAGAGCTGAAGCCTCCCATATGCTTTAATTCTAAAATGCTTTAAGACACCACCCACCTTCATTATTAAAATAAGCCATTATTTGATTAGGATAAATTGAGCTGAGAGACATGAGAAGCCCAAATTACACTTTGAAATCAGAAATTACAAAGCACAAAAGATTTTAAAGAAGCCTACTGAAAGGTAAATAACAGCTTTAAAAAAAGTTTGACTGAAGCAAGATGCAGTCATCAATTAACAAAAAGAAAATTATTACCTTTAATGTTGCAGTATCTCCCAGCAAAGTTCCTTTGTAATCTGTTGTGTAAGTCCAGTCATATGGCTTGACAATTTCCTTACTGTGCTCAGTCTCACTCCTCAATAGTGAAAGAGAAAACAGCTTTGTAGTAATAGCTTCATAGCAATTGTCAAAAAATTACAACCTCACATATGACTGTGCATTAGAATTCTGACACTGTTCCTAATGAAAAACAGCAGCATTGTCTGAGCTGCAATCACAATGTCAAGACTTAATCATGGTTTCACATCTGTTTCCATAATAATTCTGAAAACAATTATGAGAATTCTTGATCTATCTCAGTTCTGACTCATAATAAAGATTCTCACGCGTTATTGCTGAAAAATTTTTATTTCAAGATGAATCTTTCTTTAAGTAGGCAGAAAGTGATCTCTTGACAACACACAGCAATCATTAACACTGCAATTTAGCTTAGTTTTCAGGATAACTTTGATTTGTTTCTGTGCTTTATTTCCAGATGCTCTACAACTAAATCAAATTTGACAAATACTAAGCATCATAATTAGTTCTCATGCATGGCAACTGTTCTGCTTTATTCCTAAGGCCAAGATTTTGAACATGTACAGCACTTTGGAACACCACACAATACAGTCCTGCAATGCTTAAGGCTCTCTGAGTTTGAATAAACAGAAACAGCATTAAGTCATGTTAAACTTGACATTTACTTTAAGAAATCCATGACACAGCTGAAAAATACAGCTGACCCAATTTGACAGAAAGGACGATGACAGCAAAGAAAAGCAAAGTGACCTCTGTGATCACATGCTGCATCTAGAGTAGAATCAAATGCAATGTGGTCCTCAAGAGTTCAGTTTGTTCCTTTAACTACTGTATGACAGTTCCAGAGACAACAACCCAGTACTTGCCCACTGGTGATAAAAATACTGTACCTGCTCTCTTGCCACTCCTCTGCACAAGCGACTTTGATCATACCTTGACAATTATTGACACATTTTAAAGCATCTGTAGCATTGAACTCAATTCCAAAACCATGGTCATGCTGTATTCTTAGGACATTGTCTCCAAACATCATCTCTGGTAGGGAAGGCATGTGTAATTCATCAGCCAACCTGCAGAGAAAAATGAGAAGCATCAGTCAGCTGATCGCAGCTAAGTGAAAGCAGTCCTTGTTTTGGAACTAGGATTCTTTAGACCATGATAACTTAGAAGACACATCACCAGGTTAATCATTTCACCTGAAATGCAGACTCATTGATCTGAAGTGACTTTTCCACCAAAAAAAGTACTCCTAAAACATTCCTTCGCCATCAGGCTCAGACAAAATTCTCACACATGAGGAATCAAGAGTATCTGAGAAGAATGCAGAAGCAATTTTCCACCTGTGCTAGCAAATTCCTGGATGGTCAGTGGACCAACTTCAGTAGGTGCTCAAAGAAACCTTTAGGAACAAGGACTCATCATAAGCAAGTTTGAATTCACTGCATAATAGCTCCAAATTTAGAAGCCTACAAAAAATGTACAATCCTGGCAGAGTATGTAAAAATTGCAGAAGACACTACTGTATTCTGCTGGTAGAAGACACATACTGGCATGCTTCCTAAACTTTTCCTCCTCGCCTACCTGACTTCCCAAGATCAAAAAGGAGTATCTGAAATCTGAAGAGAAGAAAGCTTTAGGAAATACACCTATTTGAGTGAGGGGAGAGAGAAGAGTGTCCAATCATAATGTTCACATTGGTAACACGACATTCCTGAACAAAAGTGGTTATTTCTGTAACCCTGAATACAAAAGAACAGTGTTAACCTAACTAAAATAAAAACAGTAAATTCACAGACCTGGAAAATAAGATTCTATGTTTTTTTCCCAAAGAAGGCAGAATAACATTATGAACTTTTCCATTTCATCAAGTGTAGGAGCCCTTGACCTGCAAAACCCAACCCCTGCATAGAAAAGAGTTCTTGGCTATGGCACATTTAATCCTTCACCTTTCTACACAGGTTGCGGAGGGATTTTTGGAATATATATTTGCCAGAAATAAAATTCCTACAGATACTAATAATGTGCCCCAAGCAATAAAAAAGACAAAATGGATCACTATGACCTTGTTGCACCTCCTACAACTGGCCTCAGCTCATTGATACAGTCTGTCCAGATCCCTCTGCTGAGCCTTCCTACCCTCCAGTAAATCAACACTTCTACCTAGCTTGGGGTCATCTGTGAACTTACTGAGGGTGCACTCAGTCACCTTGTCCAGACCATCAATAAAGATATTGAACAGGACTGACCCCAACACTGAGCTCTGGGGAACACCACTGTCGATGGGCCACCAGCAGGATGTAACTCCATTCACCATCACTCTTTGAACTCAGCCATCCAGACAATGTTTTACCCAGCAAACAGTGCACCCATCCCAGCCATAAGCAGCCAGTTCCTCCCAGAGGATGCCTTATTAGCCTCAGAAAAGGTAAAAGCAAGATAAATGAAAGTACATTTAACAAGACTGATGAGATTTCTATGTATACTGAAATTTATTCCAGAAAACGAAACTGAGAAGTATCTGCCAAATCCATCCGCCTTTAAGGTCAGTTATGGCACAACTGAACTCTCCAGTTCCACATTAGCAAATTTAACTTAAGTAATTGATGCTGATACAGAAACATTTCCTCCAATGATTTCAGTGGATTTGGAAGTCCTACAAGAAGAGAGAAAATTATAAATTTTTAATGAAAACCACTATCTTAAAAGAGGTTTTACCAAGACATGGTAGGAGACAGTAAAAATATTCTTTTTCAAAAGTAATTTAAAAAATCAGGCTTCTAATTAGCGGGTCTCAGTTCACAGAGATCTAGAGATCCAAAACCATTATAATTACACAATCAAAATGGTCTGAGTTGGAAGAAACCTAAAGGTGAAGTTCCAACGTCTCTGCCATGGGAAAGGATACCTCCACCAGACCAGGTTGCCCAAAGCTCCATCCTGGCCTGGCCTGGGATATCTCCAGGCCTGGGATATCTCCAGGGATGGGGCATCCACAGCTTATCTGGGCAACCCGTTCCAGGGACTCAGCACCCTCACAGTCAGGAATTTCTTTCCTAGGGTCCAATCTAAATTTCCTCTCAGTTGGAATCCATTCCTCTTTTTCCCCGTACTACATGCCCTTGTAAAAAGTCCCTCTTCGTCTTTCTTGTAGGCTGCCTTCTGCAATCATTGAAGCAAAATTTTGGAAATTACCTGTAACCCAAATCGCCCGAGTTCTCCAGCCAGAGAATCAAGCTTGAAGAGAAGGAACAACCCCGGGAGCCGATGAGCGTCTCCCCCGCCCTGGGAACGCTGCGTGTTTCCTTCGCAAGGCCACCCGACGCCCCCAGCCCCTCGCTGTGACGGCCGAGGCCGCAGCCCCGCGGTAGCTCCCCGAACAGCGGGGACACGGTGCTGTGCTGTGTCCCCCTGCACCCCCAGCCCAGAGTCCGCCCCACCTCTCGGCCTGCGCCGACTTCATGATGTGCGTCCGGGCGGCGCTCAGCTTCCACGGCCCGAAGGTGAAGTCACGCCGGCTGCTCTGGAAAACGGGGTGCATGGCGGCCTCCTCTTCGCCGAGCAGAAGACAGGAGGCGGCGGAAGGGGCGGAGGCGGCGAAGCCCCTCTCCTCCCGTCTGCTCCCGCACAGCACTCACGGCAGCGCCGGCGCCCCCGGAACCGCCGCCTCGGAGCGTTTCCGCTTCCAGGGCCGCGCGGTGCGGAGCCCCGGCGGCGGCGGAATCCTGGGATGCATCCGGGAGAGTGTTGCCAGCAGGGCGAGGTAGAGGATCCTGCCCATCTGCTCAGCTCTAGTGAGCCCACATCTGGAGTGTTCTCTCCAGGACGGGAGGGACATAGAGCTCCTGGAGCGGGTCCAGCAGAGGGCAGCGAAAATGATTAAGTGACTGATCTTTGTTAGGTGGAAGGGCTGAGGAAGCTGGGCCTGTTCAGCCTCGAGAAGAGGTGGCTGAGAGGGGCCCTCATCAATGTGTACAAATATATAAGGAGGGGATTCCAAGAGTATGGATCCAGGCTCTGCTCAGTGGTGCCAAGCAATGGGACAAGAGGCAACGGGCAGAAACTGATGCACAGAAGTTCCCCCTGAACATGAGGAAGAATTTCTTTACTGTGCAGTGACCAAGCACTAGAACAGGTTGCCCAGAGAGGTTGTGATGCCTCCACCATTGGTGATATTCCAGACCTGTCTGGACACAACCCTGTACCATGTGCTCTGGGATGACCCATTGTGGCCCTTTCCAACCTACCCAGTCTGTGATTCTATGAGGTGATATGGGGGGCAGGTGGGTGAGGAAGGGGCATCCACACTTCTCTGTGCTTCTGGAGCCACCGTGGGGAGAGTGGGCTCTCCAATCTCCACTGCCCAGGATGAAGAGCCAGCAAGCTCACCCAAACCCCTGTTTCAGTGAAGCTAGGCTGCAGAAGCTAGCGGAGAATGTTGGTGTGCCTCACAAGTGCTTGTGCCTCAGCTACTTCCCCATAGGTACTTCACCAAGAGCAGTGGGTAGGAGCAGTTTTGGGGAGCTCTGAAGCCTCTGGTGGCCCTGGGCCATCTCCATGGCCTCACTCACAGTTGCAGCAAGCATTGCCTGGCTCCATCACACAGGTGCCCTGTGCTGTGTTAGTACACACACATGTGTGCACACAGAATCACATCTGGGCAAGGTTAGAATGGGGCAAAGTGGATCATCTGGTCCAATTTCCCTTTTCAAGCAGGGTCATCCCAGAGCACATGGCATAGGATGGTGTCTAGACAGGTCTGGAATATCTTCAGTGAGGGAAACTCCACAACCTCTGTAGGCAACCCATGCACAGTCATTTGCATAGGAAATATGTTCTTCCTCACTTTCAGGTGGAACTACTGTGCATCAGTTTTTGCTCATTGTGTAATCTCTTGTTTGATACATTTTTGAATGCTGTCCAAAAATGGTCTTTTTAAAATGTCGAAGTGCAATGGTGTGGTAAGCTTAAAAAAGTCTATAGAAAAGTATCAGTAGAACTGATTGAAAATGATGCATCAGCTTAGTATTCCAGCACTGATGGGTGGATGCATGTCTTGCCTTTCTGCATCATCAAAAGAGCAGACTAACTCCCTGTGGACTTCCCCTGGCACAGGAACAAGACATACAGTCCAGCTCCTGCTGTTGGAGCATTGGAGCAAATGGAGGCATCAGCTACAGAAAACTGATGTCCACAGCATTAAAAACTCCATAGAGCAATCAAAATATAGCACAGCTCACATCAGGGCAGTCACCCTCTGTGCTCAAGGGTATTGCCAGGGAAAGGCAGGAACTAGGGAGGCACAAGCACAGCATTTAATTTTTGTTCACCCTTTATACTGACACTATATCCGATGTCTTGCTTCAGATATGCGTGTGGGAAAAACTTTTCCCCAAATCTTGTGTTAATTTTAATAGTGTTTCGGGGTCTAGGAAGTCTAGCACCTAGGCTCTACGGCTGCCTGGCACTACGAGCCGGGGCAAATGACTTGACTTTATCCAAGAAAAGTACTTTTCCCCTCCCTTTTAACCGAGTTCCCGGGGACGCCCCCGGCGCGGCTACGGAGAACATGGCGGGCGGAGGGGGGCGCGGCGGGCTGAGGCGGCGGGGCGGGACGGCGGGAGGGGCAGGCACGGGGCCGGGGCCGTGCCCATGGCGGGGCAGGCCACGGCGGCTGACGGGGGTTCCGGGCGCCCCAGCCAGGAACGTCCCGCTCTGGCGGCGGCAGGCGGTGAGTGCAGAGCCGGGGATGGGACAGAGGCGGTGGGACGCGCTCGCCACCGGCGGGTGGGGGCGAAGCGATGGATGCCCGGGGCGGAGGACCCTGTTCCAGCCCTTTGTTCACTGCCGGAGGGAGCGCAGGGGCAAAATGGCGAAACCCCCCTTCCCCACCGTATTTACAACTCGGTCCCACTCGCTTGGTGGGTGTGCGGGAAGCCTGACCGCGGTGCCTGCGGCCGGGATGGGATGGGATGGGACGGGGCGGGATGGGATGGGATGCTGTCCCCGCCCTGGGCAGCCCTGGCCCGGGGGGGCCGCCTCTGCCGATGTCGCTTTCTCCCGCCGTGAGGGAACGGGGCGCTCCAGGTGCTCCGGGCATCGCTATCGCAGGGTGTGGGCGCGGGGGAAGCCGCCTTTCCAAAACCCGCTACGGCCAAAAAGTGTTGGAAAGGCACCCAGAGGTGGTGCAGGCATGCTGAGAGAGAAAGAGATTCGAGGAGGAGTGTTTTTGCACACATCCTCAGTCAGAGGGAAGAGCTAAGTTACATTTTTTTCAAAGCATGGCCCAGTAATGTCTTTAATTATGTTCTTAGGAAAGCACAGATAAAAATGGAAAAAAGGCGTCTTTCCAGACTGACAGTGCTGCCTAATGTCATAGCAGCCACACAGATGGAAGCATTTCTGTAAGTACTGTCTGGGACCCATGTCTGGCAGAGTTGCAAAATTAGCTAAGATAACTTTTCTGAGTCCCATCCCAGAAATGCTAAAATCAACTTTATGTTCACTGATGGACTCTTTTACTATTTTTTTCTTCTTCTTCTTCTTTTTTTTTTTTTTTTTTGGTCTGCATATTTGCATTTTTTTTGTTTGTTCATTATGCTGTCCTACAGAGAGGTGAAGGACTGAATAAAGTAGGTAGTGATTGCCATTTGAAGGCAGCAGGGAAAAGAGAAATTGCTAAGGAATTGGAAGAAATAACAAGGTTTCACAAAATGAGGCTGTGAATCTATGGGATGGATGCTAACACTGAGAAGTCAAGGATTAAAGGTTCTCAAGCATTTCTGTGGCGTGGAGCTCATCTTAATGCAAGGAAGTATCTTTCAAACCTCATGTACAGAAAGCCAATTCCTCCAGTCCTTTGGTGTTGGCAGTAAAATACAATCAGCAGTGTAGCTAAGGTGATTATGAACACGCAGAAATGATGTTGGGAGAGTATATATAGTGGTCCCTGAGTCTTTCAATGTTACTTAGCAACTGTTAAGGAAGAGTCAGCAGGGTGTAAGACTGAACTCTAGGGCTGTTTGGGTCCAATCCAGCTAGCTCTGGTCCCTGGCCCCTCGCAGTCTTACAAGGACAAAAGTGAAAGACTACAGGCGCTCTTTCCTCTCAGGATGATCATCCCACTTTATTGTGGAACCACTCCAGGGAAGTCCAAGGGAGGCAAAGAGAGGTCAGAGGTTCCCTCCTGGGAGATTTTAAGCCCAGGGGAAGGGGGGCAGAGGAGAGGAGCTACAGCCAGTGGGATACAAGTCAGGAGAGGGGCCAGAGGAGGGGTAGACCAGGGAGAAACCACCACCACTGGGGCTTAGGGGAGAGGGGAAGACCATGTGATATGAGAGGGGAATCCCATGAGGATACAAACATACTATTCAGTGCAAAATACCAAACCCAGTGCAAAACAACTAAATAAACTATTTAGTGCAATAAACAGCAGGTATGACTAGCCAGGCATCCATAGAAACCAGCAAATGCTGTATAGGCAGAATACAAGGTAACTATCAGGACAGGCAGAATTTTTTTAAAAATGTGACTTCCTTTAAAGCAAGATAAGGAAAGATACTTGATATTTGTCTTGTTTCTTCACTGCCTAGTTGAAGGGGCTGGTAAGTAGGATTTAGAAACAAGTAAGATCTGTAGAAAATTTTAAAGTAAAATGTGCCTATTTTCTTTCTTATTTCCTCCCCCTTCACCTCTTCTTGTCTTCCCTCTTCTAGGCTTGGTGTTATCCTCTTTGGTGTGCCCACAGGAAATTTACTGCCCCTTCACTTGCCCATCTAAAATATGCAATTTCTTGCATACTACAGGTAAATTTCAACAAAGGCAAAAGGGCCTCCAGTCTTTGGAAAGAGTTTGAAGAACTATTACATGAATGTTTCTGAACATTGTTCTGCTTCTAGCTGCTCAGCATGTCTTGGCTGCTCCAGATCTCCACACTCTGACCATGAGCAGCAATTCCTCCCTCAGCAATGGAAAGGGCCTGAGGAACCTGACCACAGAGGAAGATGGGGCAGTCAGAGTCACCGAGTCCATTGCTATAATTGTCATTGCCATCTTCATCTGTTTGGGCAACCTGGTGATTGTTGTTACTCTATATCGCAAGTCATACCTTCTCACCTTAAGCAACAAATTTGTGTTCAGCCTGACCCTCTCCAACTTTCTACTCTCCGTGCTGGTGCTGCCTTTTGTTGTGACCAGCTCCATCAGGCGAGAATGGATCTTTGGGGTTGTTTGGTGCAATTTCTCAGCCCTGCTCTACATGCTGATCAGCTCAGCCAGCATGCTCACTTTGGGACTCATAGCTATAGACCGGTAAGCTGCTCTTTGGTAATGAATTGTAACAAATTGCCTGGTCCTCTCATAGCGTAACCACTTCTTGTTCATAGAGTTGAGAAGCACTGCAGAGGGTTACATGGTGTACTGATGGAGTATCGTTTTTACTTCAGCCCCTCATGAACTTTTGATGTGGAGCAAGAGAAAATGATGTCATCAATAATGGAAAATGCAGACATTCATCCAGAGTTTTTTAAAGCTCTTGATGGTATAATAACATACTATTTGATAAACATGAAATAGTGACTTAAAATTCCAGATTATACCCTAAGCTCACACCTTACTCACACATAAGAACAGATGGTTGCATTTGTGCCTTAGCCAAGTTTGACAGTCTT